TCAAGAAGGAGTTAGATTTGGTTCTCAGGATCAAAGGTATGGGGAGAAAACAGGAACAGGGTACTGAGTTGGACAATCAGCCATGATTGTATTGAATGGTGGAGCAGGGCTTGAAAGGCTGAATGACCTACTTTTGCTCCTATTTTCTATGTTTCAATGTAACCACAAAGTACTTGTGCCAGCAACCTTTGGGTACAGCAGAGAGAAAGAAAATAAATCCGTAACAGCAGAACTGAAAGCTTACTCTCTTTCTTCCACTCAGTAAAACAAACTGGAGAAACTATTCAATGAGAACTCAAAAGATATCTACAAATTTCATTCTTGCTGATGGTAAAGTCATCAGACAAACAATCAGGGTATCAGGTTCAAACCTAACACCTCACAAACTTTTAAATTTGTAGCCTTTATGCAATCTGTCTGTATTGGACACTGTCCCCTTTTTAAACCTTATACCTGTGCTTGTGTGCGTTTGATGTCACATTTTATTCTTTTCTCTGGGTTACTGAGCTATAAAATTCCTCTTAACTTCATTCAAGAAAACCTTCTATTTGTTCTGTAATTTGAATGAAAACTGCATTTTAAGTGATGTGTGAAATCACTGCATGCTAAAAAAATTAAAAACCTTTGTTGTGGTTGGCCAAGGTGGGGTTAAAAAATGGTGTAACATAGGACAGGCTCACTATCCTCGAATTTCTACATTCTGCAGTCTTGACACAAAACCTAGTTTGCCATATTTCAGTCTTACATTTACAGATGAAAATGTACATGTTCTGTATTAGCCTTAAAGCTAAATAGTTTAGCCATTGGAAATAACGAACCACTAAAAACACCAATGAATAAACTTATCTGCAACTTACTTGCAATACTCCACACTCTGTGCTCACTAAAAGATCACATTTTAAGCTTTGCTCTCCTGTCTGGTGTTTGATCCCTGACTCCCAACAGCCTGTTTCTCCTCAGACGACATGTCCATCCTGGGCCTCCTGCAGTGCCACAACGATGCCACCCGAAGGTTGCAGGAACAGCAACTCATATTCCGCTTGGGAACCCTGCAGCCCAATGGTATCAATGTGGATTTCACAAGTTTCAAAATCTCCCCTCCCCCCACCGCATCCCAAAACCAGTCCAACTCGTCCCTGCCTCCCTAACCTGTTCTTCCTCCCACCTATCCCCTCCTCCCACCCCAAGCCGCACCTCCATCTCCTACCGACCAACCTCATCCCGCCCCCTTGACCTGTCCGTCCTCCCTGGACTGACCTATCCCCTTCCTAACTCCCTACCTACACTCACCTTTCCTGGCCCCATCCCCGCCTCTTCAGCCTCTCTGCTCCTATGATGCTGCTTGGCCTGCTGTGTTCATCCAGCCCTGCACCTTGTTGTCTCGGATTCTCCAGCATCTGCAGTTCCTACTATCTCTGAGCCTGTTTCTTCTTGTGGCTTTCATTCACTGTTTCAATCCGCTAATCAACTTCCTGAGATAAACTTGAGGCTGGATTTCACCAGCCGAAAGGCTGCTACTCAAAAATCTTGCTCTTTTTGAAACGTGGTTTAGGTTTTTTTAAATCTTTGATCCTTACCTTATCTTAGTCTTTGTTTATGAAGACAATTACATTTTTGTCTGTTTCAAGCTACTTACTTAAAAATACCAGCTTACATAATGGCAAGAAATGTCTGCTCCCCGGGATGGCAATCTTGGGGGCAGGAAGGGCATTTAATTAGGGAGGGTAGTAAACCATAATGTTGCTGCCTTCTCACCTCCACCAGAATTAAATTCTGGGAAAGACTGTTCATGGTCTACGTTCTGGTCCTTCCATCAACTGTAAATGGCCAGTGAAGGACCGCTGAACGGCTTCATCTCACCATCGCTTGGATTAAATCAGCTGCAGGTTGAACTGACGCCATGTAGGGTTCACAACAGCTGCTACCCTAGGGCAGCTTATCGCACAGAAACACAGAAACTAGGAGCAAGAGTAGGTCATTTGGCCCTTCAAGCCTGCTCTACCATTCAATATGACCAATGCCGGATTCCCACTTTCTCTCCTTGATGCTTTTAAAATCCAAAAATGTATCTATCACTTTCTTGAATGTACTCAAGTGACCTGGCCTCCACAGCCTTCTGTGGTAGAGAATTCCATAAATTCCCTATTCTTGGAGTGAAGAATTTTTTTCCTCATTTCAGCACTAAATGGCCTACCCCATATGCTGAAACTGCGACTCCTGGTTCTGTACTCCTCAACCACGAAAAACATCCTCCCTGCATTTAGTCTGCTAGCACCCCCTAGTTAGAATTTTATAAATTTCAATCAGATTCCCTGTCATTCTTCTAAACCCTAGCAAATAAAGGCCCAGTCGAACCAACCTTTTCTTATAGGACAGTCCTGCCAGCTCTAGTGTTAGCCTTGTAAACCTCCACAGCAGTGTCTCAAATGGCAAGGGTGACATCTCTTAGATAGGGAGACCATAACTGCATGTAATACTCCAGGTGTAGTCTCATCAAAGCCCTGTAAGACTGCAGTAAGAAACCTCTACCTTGAATCCTCTTACAACAAAGGCCAATATACTCATTAGCCTTCCTAATTGCTTGCTGCACCTACCTGTCTACTTTCATTGACTGGTATATAAGGACACTCAGATCCCTTTGTTCATCCACATTTCAAATATATGATTATTTAAATAATACTGTCTTTCTGTTTTTCACACTAAAGTGTATAATTTCACATTTAACCATGTCCTGCAACCGCCGTATGCTTGCCCATTCACTCAACTTTTCTAAATAACCTTGAAGCCTCCTTTCATCCTTCTCACAACTTATAATCCTTCCCAGATTTGATTTATCAGCAAACTTGGAAATGTTGCATTTGGTTCCATCTTTCAGGTAACTTATACAGATCATGAATAGCTGCAGCCCAAACACTGATTCTTGGTGTACCCCACTAGGCACTGTCTGCCACTCAGTTAAAAGACCCATTTATTCCCACTCTGTTTCCTGTTTGTCAATAATTCTCAATTCACGCATATCATATATAAAGGTAAAGTCGCTATAGTCCTAGCAGACCATACGGCTGCTCTCTCATTCGAAAGAGATGACTGGTGGTAGGTTAACCTGAGGGTCACTAAACCTCAGGTGAGGGGAAAAGTTGAGGAGATACTGCAATTGAACTCAGTGTAGGCAACACTCTGCATTGCAAACCAGCTCTCCAGCCAAGTGAGCTAACTGACCCCCTATGTTTTATATATAATAGAAGTATGGTATATATATCATCCATATTACCCCCATCCCATATACTTTCATTTTGCCTAAGAAACTCTTATGTTGGAACTTATCAAAAACCTTTTGAAAATCCAAATACATCATATTTACTGGTTCATCCTTATCTATTCCATTAGTCACATTGTAGGAAGGTGAAGCAGTCAGCACCTGTTCAGGAAACTGCCCTTATATAGGGATATGCCCATTAGGAGCAAGCCACTGCCCTCTCCTTACAACCCCCAACCCCTGCTATCATTACTTAGCTCAGTCTTAGGTCCACCATGATGCTGGAGAATCAGGGGTGCACTTTTAGCAGAAGTCACTGCCTCCTCCCTACGCCAGCCTCTGATTGGCCTGTATATCTCCCTGAGCAGGACTTCTGTCCCTGGGTCTTGATTCTATGGGAGGACCTGCAGATGGCCTTACCACTGCCTGATTGGTGTGTTCACCCTGGAAGAGAAGGTATAGATGTCTCAGTGGCTCTCCAGCTATCAAGTGAGACCCTTGAAGCCCCAATAAGATTCCACCCAAATTTCTAAAAGACACAACACAATTTTCAATACTTATTGCCTCTAACTTACAGAAATCATTACAAGTGTCATAGGTGAAAGAAAATACCTCCTTCTCCCTGTGCACCAAATCCGACTTCCACCTAATTCTAAACTTTGCAGTTTGTTCATAATCCACTCAACTGTAACTGTAATCTGCAGTTACAATGTAATGCAAGAAATATTTTTACCTTAAATTGTTTTGAGTCACATTCATGTTACCATCATCATCATAGTTTATCATAGAATCCCTACAGTGTGGAAACAGGCCCTTCAGCCCAACAAGTCCACACGGACCCTCAGAGCATCCCACCCAGAACCGTCCGCATAACCCACCTAATCAACACATCCCTGAACGTTACAGGCAACTTAGCACAGCCAATCCACCTAGCCTGCACATCTTTGGACTTTGGGAGGAAACAGCAGCACCCAGAGGAAACCCATGCAGACATGGGGAGAATGTGCAAACTCCACACAGACAGTCACCTGAGAGTGGAATCGAACCCGGGTCCCTGGTGCTGTGAGGCAGCCGTGCTAACCACTGAGCCACCGTGCCACCCTAGGTTACAGTAAATATCCTCAATCAGGCAATGGCTTACAGCTGATTTACTGTTAACAACTAATCACATTTGCACAAAGGAAGAAATTAGTTGACACGGCATTGCTATGTCGGCCTACCATGAATCCCAGCAGCAAGCAGTGCTTCAGGCCATCACCAGCATAAATTTCGTTACTGATTTTAACGAGGAAAACCGTGCAGCTCTACACAAACAAATTTCTCCTTCTAAATGTTAAAACTAAATTTTAATCTGACTACTCACCAAATTCTCAACTTTCCACTATGTTCACAGTGCACTCAGTTCATATTGCAATGTGTGATTAAGCTCTGCGCTGTCGCTGAATGACAATTTTGATGCTATAATAATACACATTTGGAATTAAATTAAGATACTCAGCTGTCCATAATGATAGTTCAGGAGCTGGTACAACTGTGTCAATTGAGATGGGACAATTCAGAAATGACCCACTTGCAGTTTCCCTACTTTGACCTATTCTATATCACAGAGCAGTCAGTTATCCACTAAGGAATGCAAAGACAACCAAAATGTTTATGTAGCTTTTTGTCTCATAAAATCAAGATGGGCAATACATTTGAAAATTTTTTCATTAATCTTTAAATGAAGTTTACAATTTAGGAATTGTTCAACTTCATGCCGTTTATTTTGATATATTTCACCAACATACAGAATTTAAAAAAAATACAATTTACAATAGTTTTTCTTTGAATGATGAATAATGGTAAGCCATAGTTACTTTTACAAGACAGAAGTGATGTGAATAAAAGAGTAACCCTGAAATATTCATCTTTGTAGCCAGTGAAAATAATACTACCGAAGGGCTGCCAGCAGGCTGTTCATTCCTTGTTACAATTGGTCTGGGGCTTCAGAAAGAAGAAATGATTCAGTTTCTTAACAAAAGTACAGATATAGTGACAACTGAAAATAAATATATTTTACTTCTTTCCCTCAACCATGATGATGTGGTAACCAAATTTAGTTTTGATAGGGGAATCCGTGTAAATGGGTTTGTCTGTTGTACTGTTGGACAGAGCAAAAGCAGCTTCTTGGAAGGGTCCCACCATTGAACCTCTGGTCATCCATCCCAAATCGCCCTAAGAGGGAGAACAATAATTTTCAATTTGTTTGCAAACTGGAGAAAGAAAACATTTCTCTACACTGTGTTATAAGTCTTGCACGCAGCAAAGACATGCAGTTTGCTACAACTTTTAAATGAACTGCATTTGTTGCTGAATTATAAAAACAATATTAAATCAAGGACTGGATTGTAATGATTTGATTTAAAGGCATTCCACAACCTGGAGCTATACTTGGGTGGGAATATATCAGCTTTCGCAACAAGTTTTTAACATGGCACTGATGGAATATTGCATTTGTTCAATTAGTTTAAGGCATCATCGTAACAGAATGAGACCACTGGGAAATGGGAAAACGTGGCAAATCTGTCCTAGCAAATTTATAGGATAAACTTAACTGATAATATTTCAACTAATAAACTCATTCAAATGAAAACATTCTTCGGTTGTTCAAGTGAAAGAATACGATTTTGTTTGAACCTGGTCAAAATTTGGAAGATAGTAAATGCAAACTCCTGATAAACCAACCCATAAGCAGTTCATATTGAACACATACTTGCTCCTTCAACAGCAGCGTGAACACTACCAAATTGCCTCAAGGTAATTACGTAATGAATCCAGACATCTCTATTTTAATAAACAAGTCAACAGTTGTTCAAAATCTATTTTTATCATGGAACCATATACGTTTAATGAAATGCCACAGGAAGTAACGTCAAGCAGATAAAGATTACAGCCAATTTGCATTGAGCAAAAAGTCACCGAGTGCAGAAATAATGACAGTACAAGAACTGCACAAAGTATCATGACTAGGAATCAATGCAGTGAGGTGACTCCTTCAGCACATTTACAGTTTGTACTTAAATAAAAACAGGAAATGCTGGAGAAACTCAGCAGGTCTGGCAGCATCTGTGGCGACAGAAACCAAGTTAACGCTTTGAGTCCAATGACTCTTCTTCAGAACGTCACTAAACTTCAAATGTTAAATCTGATCTCGCTTCACAGAATCTGCCAGACCTGCTGAATTTCTACATTTTTTTGTTTATATTTCAGATTTCCAGCATCTATGTATTTGCTTTTACATGAGCTGCTACTTACTCCTTGCCTGGCTTTGTCTTCACTGTATTGGCTAGCCACTTCATTAAATTTCATGCCAGATTTCAACTTCTCCATAGCTTCCATGATTTTACTGTGCTTTTCACAGAGAATATGCCTCACCTGAAACACAATAATTCAATATGAATGGTGTCCAATAGATGAGACCCATCAGGCTTTTTTGAAAGATGCTTGAATTTCTAGACAAAAATAAATTGAAGCCAAAACTTCTTCAAACATACCACTTAATGTGTACTAAGGCTCATGGAACAAGAAAGTTGAGGTGTGAAATCCAATTTGTATGAAGTTAGCTGATCTCCCCGACGGTAATACTAAGAATGTCATAATTATTCTTGGTGCTCCAAGGTCATGGAGGAAAAAATATCAGCCAAAGTTCTTGCCTCTGATCACTACTCTATAACCTTTAATACTAAATAAGCATTACATAAGTACATGTATTGAGATGTTGGAGGAGAACAGAATTTGCTAAATGCTGATGTCTCTAACACTGAACAGTTAAAACACCAATGGATGAGTCACGAAGACCTGATATATCGATGCAACAACCAATATCTTCAAGACAGCAAAGTGTTGTTCAAGGATGACTTTCAATAGATGGCAACAAGGTAGCTGCTCTGCTACTTACGTAACCCTGAGCCAGCATCAGGTTGTCTACGAATGATTTAGCATGAGGTTCCCCACGAACATGCTGTGGTTTACAGGAGAGAAGAGATATAAAGGAAAAACTAAACCCAGTGACTTAAGTGTGTTATGCTTCTGTTCAAAATAGGTCAGGGTACCACAGATTTCAATAAGAGTTGGTGGAAAGAAAGATCTGCATGTATATTGCATCCTTCATGATCATCAGATGTCATAAAATCCATTACCAGTCAAATGGAGTACTTTCTCATAGTGAAGTCTGTGTTACAATGAAGGAAAGGTTGCAGCTAATATTAACATAGAAATGTGATAAAGACGACAAAAGTAATCTGTTTCTTATGAAGTTATCTGAGGGACAAATTTTAGCTAAGACAGGAGGAATAAATCCTCTGCTCTTCTTCAAAACAGTATCATGGGATGTAGACATCACTGGTTAATCAGCATAAACTGTCCATCCCTAAATACCTTTGAAGTATATATCTTCTTAGGTCATTTCAGAGGACAGTTGTGAGTCAACAACATTGCTGAGAGTCTGGAGTCACATGCAGGCCACAAAAAATTAAGGATGACAGATTTCCTTCCCTACATTTGTGTGCCAGATGAGTATTTGTGACAACCAACAATTGCTACATATTTACCATCAGACTGGCAGTTTTTAATTTCAGACTTTTTCATTTTTTTAATGAATTTAATATTCAGCACCTGACATGGTGGAATTCATCTGGGACTTTGGATTACTGACCTACTGATATTACCATTCTGCTACTGCCTCCACCTTCAAAAGACAAAGGGTCTTTGTTGACTGTCTCATGTGAAAGAGGCCACCTTTGACTGTGCAGCACCCGGTCAGTACTACAATCTGTCAGTCTACATTGTTGCAAACAAATCCTGGAATGGGACTTGAGCTACAAACTTTGACTCAACTGTGAACACTTTACCAACTGAGCCATATTCGTTATACCTACAAAGTTGGGTCAAACAAAATTTTTAATTAGCAAGTTGCAGGACAACATGTAGGAATCTTATCCATCTCATTTCCCCTTGTGACCACATCATACTGTACGTCGTGTGACCAATAATTCACATAACTACTTGCTTCCTGTAAGTTTTGTCCAACATCTTCCTATAGTAATAGAATTATTCTAATTAAATGGTACCATATAAAGGAATGCGCATTTATAAATGCTTCAACTTGTTGCTCCCTGTCAGAGCAGAAGCAATATCACAAGAAAACAGGTGATTGGTCAGTATTTTTTCCATGTCTCTCGATTGGCCATGCGGTTAAAATCAGGAGACATTATTACAGCTGAAAATACAGTTAAGAAACTCATTTTTAGAATATTTTAACATCCAAATTAATTGATGAAACTGCACAGAGATGGCTGAGCAGGTGATCTGTTGCAGCTGTAATCTATGGGATTTAGTGCATGCTGATACAATCCACAGTGACCATTCCTGCAACAAAAGCTGCTTAAGGAACTTTGACTCGGAGTTGATGAGCTGAAGTCCGAGCTGTAGACATTGCGACACATCAGGGAGAGGGACAGGGAGAGGTAACTGAAGACTGTATTTCAGAAGGCAGTTACATGCCTTTGATTAATTAAATCAGATTTGATTTGTGGGCAGGGACAAGTGAGTATGAATGTGAATGAGGCAGGCATGGAGATCTGGAATTTAGCTTTGGAGGAAACTCAGCAGGGCTTTGTCCAAAAAGTAAGAAGTTCTTGTTCCCAGTGTCGATGAGGGAACAGACGACAGAGACAATGAGTAAAGTGACACAGAAACAAGGTCCAGAGAAGCATTCAAGTGGGGGAGAAAAGAAAAATGTCGTAGCATTGGGAATTACTTTGTCTGGGGAATAGATAATGTTCCCTGCAGCAAAGACAGAGAATGCTCCAAAGACAGTGTTGACCAACTGGTGCCAAGATTCAGCATATTTCTTTTGGGCTGGAGAGGAACATGGAATGGGAGAGGAAGGATCCAGTTATTGTGGTCCATATCAGTACCAATCACAGGTAGGACTAAGACAAAGGTTCTACTGAGGGATTATGAGCAGTTCAGGGATAAATGATAAAGCACAACTACAAACCTAATAATCTCAGGATTACTACCTGAGTCACATGCAAATTTGCGTAGGGTAAATAAGATTAAAGAAGTAAATCCGTGGCTCAACGATTGGTGTGGGAGAAATGGTTTCTGATTCTTGGGGCACTAACACTAGCACTGGGGATCATGAGAGCTATTCAGTTGGGCTGGATTTCATTTGAATTATAAGAGTACACCAGAGATTGGAACCACAGCAAGTATTAAAAGTAAATAGTCAAAGCTTAGGGCTTCTTATCTAAATGCACGCAGCATTTTTCACAACATACATGAGTTGATGAAACAAATAAAAATATATGAACTTGATAGATATTATTGAGACACAACTGCAGGGTGACCAGGATGAGGAACTCAATACTCAAGGGCATTCAACATTCTGCAGGAAAAGGCAAAAAGGAAACGAAAGTGGGGTAATATAGTTAATAAAGGAAGATAATAATGTGAGTAGTGATGCAAGTCCAGAAGATCATAATGTGAAATTAGTTTGTGGAAGTAAGGAATGGCAAGGGAAAGAAGTCACGAATGGGAGTAGTCGACAGGTCTCAAAGAGTGGCTCAATGTAGGATAATGTATAAATCAGGAACTAATACAGGTGTGTGACAATTGTCACAGGGTACTTATAATCTGGCTGAACAAATCAGACTGGCAAGGGTCATATGGAATTTGTTGACTGTATCAGCAATTGTTTCTTAGAACAATATGTTACAGGCCTAGCTGGGAACAGGCTATTTTAGATCTAGTAATGTGTAATGAGACATCATTAATAACAGATCTCATAGTTAAGGATATGTTTTGTGTTAGTAATCACAACATGACAGAATTTCAAATTCAGTTTGAGGGACAGCAACTCGGGCCTCATACCACTATCCTGAACTTAAAAATAGTAAGAAGAAGAAAGAGTGGTCTAAAGTGGACTGGGAAGATAGTCTAAGGGAAAAGCCAGTGGATGAGCTGTGGCAGACATTTAAGCAGATATTTCAAATCGCTTAGCAAAAATTAATTCTGTTCATAAAGAGGGACTCGATGAGAAGGATGAACATCCATAGTTAACAAATGCAATCAAGGAGAGTATCCAACCAAAAACCAAGGCTTACGAAGCAGCAAAAACTAATATTGGCTGAAGAACTGGGACTTATTTTCCCAAGCAACTTACACTGGATGGCTAAAAACTAATAAAGAAGGAGAAAATTTATTATGGAAATGAATCGGCAATAAATACAAAACAAACAGCAAGAGCATCTACTGGTGTATAAAAAAACGAGCAGTTAAAGTAAGTTTGGAACCCTTGGAGGATGCAACAGGGTGATTAAGAACGGGGAACAGGGACATGGCAGAGGAATATTTTACGTGCGTCTTCATATACTGGATGACACTATAAACATTCCAAAGACACCACATAAACAAGATGCTATTTGGAAGACAGATCTTGTAACAGTCTATCACAAGGGACAAATTAATTAGACTAAAGGCGGATAAGTAGCCAGGACCTAATGCCCTGCACTCTAGGGTTTGAAAGGAAAAGGCAAAGGTTTTAAAGGCATTGGTCAAAATATTTCTGAACTCTCTAGATTCCATAAGGGTTTGAGGGGATTGGGAAATGGCTAATGTGAAGCCCCCATTCAAGAAGGGAGGGAGACACAAAGAGTGAAACCATAGGCTGATAGTATTATTTTCCCAAAGACAAATGTTAGACTGTTTGTTATTAAGAAAGAAATAGCAGGACAATTAGAAAAGCTTAACGCAATCAAACAGAAGCAACACAGTTTTGTGAAGGGGTAAGCATGCAATCAAGTCGCTTGACTCGTCGCTGGAACAATCAGAGTTAATAATGGGGAACTGGTAGGTGTAGTATATTTGGATTTCCAGAATGCATTCAATTAGTGTCACATTACAGGTTATTGCACAAGGGCGCAGTACTGGGGGTAATGTACTAGCATGTAATGAAGATTGGTTAACACACAGAAGATAGTGTCAGAATTAATGATTTTTTTTTCAGGTTGGGAAGATGCAACTAGTGGAATGCCATAAAGATCAGTCCTAGACCCTCAATTGTTTACTATGATATTGTCAACTTGGAGGAGAGGCAGAGTGTAAAGTTTCCAAATTTGCTGATGATATAAAAATATGGAGGACATGTTGAGATATGGACATGCGGGATTTACAAGGGGATATAGATATAAAAGTAAATACTGTGGATGCTTGAAATCTGAAACAAACCCAGATTTTGGAAAAACTCAGCACGTCTGGCAGCATCTGTGGAAAGAGAACCAAGTTAATGTTTCAAGCCTGGTATAACTCTTTCTGGTTGAGTAAGTCCGCAAAACTTGCCAGATTGAGTTTAATGTATGAAAGTGTGAGATTATTGGAATTTTGGCCTTTGTGCCAGACGGGATTGGATCTTAAAAGTAGGGAAGTCTTGTTACAACTATATCGGGTATTTGTGAGTCCATACCTAGGCTACTGTGTATAGTTTTGGTTCTTGTGTTTAGAAAACATAAACTGGTGTTAGAAGCAGTCCAAACTTGATTAATTAGGCTGATTCCTGAGATGAAGAGGTTTATTTATCAGGAATGGCTGAACAGGTGAGGCTTTTATTTGCTAGCATTTAGTAGAATGATCTTATTAAAACATACAAGTTACAGAAGAAGAGGGCCTATATTTAAAAATGAGATACAATACAATTTATTTTCCTGATGGTAGTGAATGTCTAGAATTTCTACACCCTAGAGAGTTGTGATGGCTGGATCACTAAAAATATTTAAAGTGAAGGTAGATGAATGTGTGAAATATCAGGGATCTGAGGGCTGTCACAAAAGCCTTGCACAAATCACCCATGATCTTATTGAATGCTGAGGTAAGTTTGAGGGGCAAAATGGCCGACTCCTGTCCCTATTTCCTATCTTGTACCAATCAATTATAGAGTATTTTCACACTAATTCCCTGCCTAAGTATATTAATATAATCTAATTCTGATTCTTTGAAGTTGTTCTTGTAATGAAATTTAAGTATCTAACAATTTGGCCTAACTATTATAAAGATGCAGGAAAGTGAGAATTCAGTGCTCACAATTTGAAATAATCAGATACTTCTACTAAAAGCAAACTGCAATATATTATTACACCAATAACATAAGAAAATACTTTGCTTTTGCTCCTTCTTGGGCTAAGGGCATCGCTGGCAAGCCCAACATTCGCTGCCATTCCTATTGCCCTTGAACTGAGTGACTTTCTAGACCATTTTCAGAGGGTAATTACAATTCATCCATTTTGTTGTGGGTCTGACATCACATGTAGTCTAAATCAGGAATGGATGGCAGACTTTCCTCATGAGTGACACCAAAGGATGTTAGTGAACCGAATCTGTCTCAACAATAGTTGATGATAGCTGTCATGAGACCCTTACTGAGAGTAGGTTCACTTTCCAAATTTATTAATTTACTTTAAATTCCACCAGCTGCTGTAGTGGGATTTGAACACATGCCCCTTTTGCATTATCATGGTTCTGTGGATTTCTCATCCAGTGACATCATATCACGTTACCACCTTGCACAGCATAGGATTCACATCAAAAGATCTTAAAATAATATATAAGGCAGTTTTTTTGAAAATCTGTTTTGCAGTCAGACTGAGGAATTACTCTGCCAAAAACATTAACGTTAATCAATGAAGTTGCTACTGATTGAGAGAATAATGCTTACTCTGCTATCAGAGCGGTCTTCAACCATTCCTCGTTTTAAAAATGCATTCTCAACAAACATCATAAAGCATCAGGAAACTCAGGATTCATTTGAACATCTAATTTGACATCTGCCTAGATTATATACTTATTCCTTACGTGATTTTTGAACTAATAATCTACAACATGAAGGTATAAGGGAGTTGCCAAAGAAGCTAATTTACACTCTGATCGCTTACCTTCACTGCATTACCCCCTTTGGATCCTTTTTCTTTCTTATCAGTACTATCACCACTGGCTGCAGCACCTTAAATATACAAAAATGGAATATGTTTCTTTATTTTTAAAGTAAATGCACTGGTGATCCATAATCCACGATATTCCACTCATGGCTGCATGAAATAGAGCTTCAGCTATATTGTTTTTGGAATATTTGACTACAGTATTAAAAAACTAAGATTTGATTCCCCAAAAAGAATAAACAATAACAAAACCAAAATGCAGCAGTTGCTGGAAATCTGAAATAAAAACATAAAGTGCATGTCTGGCAGCATTTTTAGAGAAGGAAACAGAGTTAATGCTTCGAATCCAGTATGATTCTTCCCTCGAACAGATTCAAAAAGAGTTCTGAAAAGTTACAAAGAAGAGTCAGATTGCACTTGAAACACTAACTCTATTTCTCTCTCCACAGATGTTGCCAAATCTACTAGGTTTCTCAACCACCTTCTGTTTTTACTAACATAATAACTTGCTCACTGATCTCAAAAATAAGGAAGTTATGCTTCAGTTATACAGGACACTTGTGAGGCTACATCTGGAGTTCTGTGTGTTGGCCTCCATGTTTAAGGGAAGATGCAAATGAAATGGAAGCAATTCAGAGAAGATTCATTAGATGGATTCTCTTATGAAGAAGGTTTGGTCTGGCAAGTCTTGTATCTCCTAGAGTTTACAAGAGTAAGAGACAACTTGATTGAAACATTTGAGGTCCCAAGGGGTCTTGATAGAGTGGATACACAGATGTTTCCTCTTGTGGGAGAATCTAGAACTAGGGACAACTATTTTAAAAAAAAAGGTGTTGCCCATACAAGATGAAGATGACACGATTTTTTTTTCCTCTTGGAGGGTAATTAGTCTTTGGAACTCTCTTCCTCAAAACGCTAGGGAAGCAGAGCCCTTGAATATTTTTCAGTAAAGATGGATAGATCTTAGAGTAAAGGGAAGACCTTTTAGAACAGAGATGAGGAGGAACTTCTTCAGCCGGAGAGTGGTGAATCTGTGGAACTCACTGCCTCAGAAGGCTGTGGAGGCCAAGTCATTGAGTATTTTTAAGACAGAGTTAGATAGGTTCTTGATTGTCAAAGGTTAAGGGGAGAAAGCAGGAGAAAGGGGTTGAGAAACTTATCAGCCATGATTGAATGGTGGAACAGACGCGATGAGCTGAATGGCCTAATTTCTGCTCCAACGTCTTATGGTCTAGATAATTAATATGTGGGTGAAAGGTCATTGGGAGTAGACAGGATTGTGGTTTGAGATTGCAATCAGATCAGGCATGATTTTATGATGGTGGAGCACATTTGTGCAGCCAGGTGGCCTACTTCTTCTCATAATTTCTATGTTTGTATGGTGTATGAAATATATGTATATCCAGTTCAAAGTGGTAAAGAGTACCGATGCTACAACTGGCATTACACTACGATGTGAGTAGATTTTCAAGTGTGTGGGTTTACTCCAGCATTTAAAAGACACAAGATCCAAAGTTTTTGAGAAAATTTGTAGCTCGGGCCGTGGATGAGGTTGTAGTCTTGCTTGCCGTGCCGGTGTGTCAGCAAGACAGACTGTCAAAAAATGAAGCCAGAGGGATTCAACACACCCCGCTTCTATGGACTCCCCAAGGTACACAAGGCAGGGGTCCCCCTCAGACCCACTGTCTCACTACCAGGCACACCAATATGTAGACTAGCCAAAGAACTACAACAGAAACTTAAACACTTAGTTGACAACACTAGCTACTCCATTCACTCCTCCCAGAATTCCTCAACAACATCAAGGACACCAGAATAGAAGAGAAGATAATGGTATCCTTTGACATAACAGCACTATTTACATCCATAAACATCGACCTAGCCAAAAGGACAATGGCCACACGGCTGGACAAATCAGGAAGGCAGGCACCCCGCGTCATCGACAGCATCAACAAGGACAGCAGCCTGAAACGACTGGATCTGTGCCTCACAACCCACTTCACCTTCAACAGCCATATATTTAAACAAATCAGTGCAACAACCAATGGGATTCCCAATATCAGGACTGATAGCAGAAGCTGTAATGCAAAGATCAGAACAGACAGCGCTCCCCACCATCCAAACCAAATTCTGAGTCCACTATGTAGATGACACCTTTGTGATTATCAAACGCACAAGACTGGAAGAAACCCACTGACACATCCTCACCAGAATAAAATTTACAAAAGAAGAGAACCACAACTGACTACCCTTCCTAGGTATAATGGTGGATCGCAAGAACAACAGGGAACTCCAGACTAGTGTATACAGAAAGACAGGACATATGGAGCAGATACTTAATTCACCAGCAACCATCCCAACACCCATAAACGGAGCTGCATCAGGACATGATTCAAATGGATCACAACACACTGCAGCAATCCAGAATTGCGCAAAGCAGAACAGGAGCATTTACAAGGAGTTTTTAAAAGGAAT